AAAAAAAAAAAAAAACTATGTTATTCTTGCCCTCTAAATGCTAACACCTTTAAAAAATTATTATTTGCTTTAAGAACCCTGCAAGTATGCCCATCACCCTCTCCAGGGGCCTCTGTGGCAATTAACTTGATAAAAACCCAAGGCACATTATTTCTTCTGTGGTTGAATTCTAGCAATGAAATAGAACCAGATGCCCCCAAACCTTGACTGCCACAAGAAACCTGACCTGCCTTGAGTTACTATTTCCTGGCTGAATGCTTCAAGTCTCCAGGGTTATCAACCCAGTGAATTTCATAAACATTTCATCCACTTGACAAAATTAAATCAAGAAACAAGGCTATGCAAATGAAAGGCTCCAGCTGTCACGATTTCCAGACGGACCCATTGTTTCGTGGATTCTGTTGAGATCCCAAATTCTTTTTCCTCGTTGCCCTCAGTTCCTATCTAAAAAGTTCAAAGAAATTAGTTGTGTTTAAGACATATTTAAGTGACCTAACGATATATTTTTTAGTAAAGATTTTTCATAAAGCAAATTTAAAATATTTGATTGCTACCTCTGTGAAGGTTTGAACTGGGTTGTCTATTGAAAGCCAAACTATTCCATGCTTTTGAACCAGCATATTTGTTCTTTTCTGTGATTACCTCCTCTTTTAGTTATTTCAGAAATTATTGGTGAAACTACCTATTAATTAGCTAGTTTAGGATGGAAATAGAGGAATAGGGCAATTTTCATCATGTACTGCTGACATGAGAAAGGTCTCCTTTCCTGCCTACTTGAGCCTCCTTCAAAGAGTTTAAAGCTTTATTGATACATTTTATATACTCCAAGAACCGTATACCTGCCCTAAGACAGAATCTCTTGCATTTAACCCTAAAATAGAATTCCATATCACATGTTCCTTTGTTTCCAGGTTAAGCTCTAAAGTGTGGCAATAAGTGAAAGTTCTTGTCTAATCAAAGTTACTTTCATTATTCCCCTTAAATTGCCCTTAAAGTTGAGTGTACATAGTTTATGTCTTCGATTCTGTGGGGTAATATTTTTGCATGCTAAAATTCAAGCTAGACTGGGGGAGAAATGAAAGGAATTCTATGGGTAAATCTGGCCTTTGAACCATTCTGTCTTTAAGATAATTTAAAGTGCCTGATAGAGAATAAAGTGTGGGTTGGAATTCTGAAGATTTCCTAATTACCAGCAGGGTCACTCCATCTTTTTTTTAAATTATTATTAAGCCTCTAAATTTAACACAGGCTGATGGATTTATTTTTTATGGTGAGGATTAAAGAAGAAAGTGTGGGGATAAGTTTAACACCTAGCTTAAGTGCCTTGTAATGTGACTCCACTCTTCTGAACAGAGCTTTATCCCTTCACACTGGCTTCCTTCCTATGTACATTTCTCTTTCCCGTGTCTTCTCTTTATTAAATCTAAATATGTTAGCCCTCATGTTTTGTAGATACGCATGCAATTTATAAGTAGCTGATTCTGTTTTCCTAGGCTAAGTCATACAGATGGAAATTAAAATGTTTACCCTCTTTGTCATAATAGTTAACTGGCACTGAAGGAACCAGCATTTGCAGATGACATCTAGACACTGCTGTTATCTACGGGGGATTCATTTCTCTTTGGTGTGAAGTCAGGATTCCCATATAAGCGAATCAGTTGCTACCATTACACTTTATTTTTTTTTTATTATGTTATGTTAGTCACCATACAGTACATCATTAGTTTTGGATGTAGTGTTCCATGATTCATTGTTTGCATATAACACTCAGTGCTCATTGCAGCACATGCCCTCCTTAATACCCATCACCAGGTTAACCCATCCCCCCATCTCCATCCCCTCTAAAACCCTGTTTGTTTCCCAGAGTCCATAGTCTCTCATGGTTCGTCTCCCCCTCTGACTCCCCCCACCCCTTCATTTTTCCCTTCCTTCTCCTAATGTCCTCCATGTTATTCCTTATGTTCCACAAATAAGTGAAACCATATGATAATTGCCTTTCTCTGCTTGACTTATTTCACTTAGCATAATCCCCTCCAGTTCCATCCATGTTGATGTAAAAGTTGGGCATTCATCCTTTCTGATGGCTGAGTAATATTCCATTGCATATATGGACCACATCTTCTTTATCCATTCGTCTGTTGAAGGGCATCTCGGCTCCTTCCACAGTTTGGCTATTGTGGACATTGCTGCTATGAACATTGGGGTGCATACAGCCCTTCTTTTCACTACATCTGGGTCTTTGGGGTAAATACCCAGTAGTGCAATTGCTGGGTCATAGGGTAGCTCTATTTTCAACTTTTTGAGGCACCTCCACACTGTTTTCCAAAGTGGCTGTACCAACTTGCATTCCCACCAACAGTGTTAAGAGGGTTCCCCTTTCTGCACAACCTCTCCAACCTCTCCTTGTCAATGTTTGCCATTCTAACTGGTGTAAGATGGTATCTCAATGTGGTTTTTATTTGAATTTCCCTGATGGCTAATGATGTTGAACATTTTTTCATATGTCTGTTAGCCATTTGTATGTCTTCTTTGGAGAAGTGTCTGTTCATGTCTTCTGCCCATTTTTTTGCTACCATTACACTTTAAAATGAGAAGTATTATACAAAGTCAGTTTTCAAATAAGTCACAGATAAGCCCAGAGTAAAGTGAGATAGGCTGATTTACACCCTGATGTAGACATTGCTAGTACCACAGCTTTTTAGCAGAGGATAGGTCCTCCCAAGTTGGCCCCAAATCCCCTATGGTCAGTTGATAATGGCTGAAACTGGGTGCTGGGTATATAGGAACTCATTACACTCTCCTCTTCTCTTTGTACAAGTTTGAAATTTCATATAATCAAGTGATCTTGGACAAATTAATTAACGGTGCTTGTTTTGTTTTGTCATCAGTAAAAAGAATGTTTGCATAGATAAATAGCTGCTACTTAACAATATATTTCTAAATATATATATGTACATATATATGTATATATTTCTCCTACTAATACTAATAAATGATAATAATAGCCATTATATTAAGTCATTTATTCACCAAATAATCGTTGAGTGTCTACTATGCCCTGGGCATGATTTAGGGTACAGCAGTGAGCAATACACATGAAGTGCCTTCAACCACAGATGATAAACAAACCAACAGATAAGTAACAGATATCAAGTGGTAATAAGTGCTATAAAGATAACATAAAGCAGGGTAAGTGGGTTGGAGAGTGTCTGGTAGTATGCTGAGGTGGAGGGTGGAGGGCTGTTTTTGCCTCTGAAAAACCTCCAGATAAGGTGATACTGGAAGCAGAAGTCCCAGGAGAGCCACGTGGCCCTCAGGGGAAAGAGCTTTTCAGACAGGAAATAGGAAGTACAGATGCAGCGGCACCTGGCCGGCTCAGTCAGAGGAGATGCGACTCTTGATCTTGGGGTCGTGAGTTCGAGCTCCACACTGGGTGTAGAGCTTACTAAAAAAAACAAACAAACTTTGAAAAAGAAAGAGAGAGAGAGAGAAGATGCAATAGCAAAAAAAGAAAGGAAAAGGAAAGAAAAGATGCAATAGCCCGGAGGAGGAAATGTGTCTATTTAACCATGGGGTAGGAGGAGGGGTTGGTGTGGTTGAACAGAGTGAGTGAGGAGGCATGCTGATGATCAGGGTAGAAGGAGGCCTAATCCTAAGGGCCGGAATGGTTTGGGATTTTATTATCAAGGAAGGAAGGAGCCATTGACTAGTTTTCATCAAGGACTGGTATGTCCAACTTGGGTTTTAAGAGAGCTCATCTGGAGGCTGTGAGAGTAATAGATTGCAGTGGGGCGAGGATGGAAAGGAAGGCCCTTGCCATAATCCTGGCGAAAGAGGATGGTGCTATAGCGAGAACTGGGTCAATTCTGGACATATTTTAAAGAAAGAGTAGAGATGATGGCACGTTGAGGGCTGCTGCTAGCCACACTGCACCTGTGTGTGAATTAGACCAGGGATGTGGGGGTAGATGTTTTCCTGCCAGGGGCCAGAGAACCTGATGACACCTCTGTGTGGTTAGCAAGAGGGGTCCCTTGCTCTCAGCAGACACATCCCTGTACAGGGCATGGCCAGGCTAGGATGGGGAGCCAGAGGCTATTTTCAACACCCACTTGCCCTAGTGTCCCAGAGCCCTTGTATAGGACTACAACCCTGGGCTTAAGAGGGAAGATAAAGACGACTCCAAAGTTTTGGGCCTGAGCAACTAGAGGTATAGCCTTACCACTTACTAAGATGGAAGAGGCTGCAGCTGGAGCAGGTTTGAGGAAGGAAATTAAGAATTTGGTTTGGGACATATTAAGCTTGAGATGCATACATTCAAGTGGAAATACCAATAGGCAGTTGAATATACAAGTCTAGAAGTAAAAGGAGAAGTTAGAAATGGGATATTGAGATTCATCAGCATGTGAATTATTATACTGCATATTATAGGTAATATATATGTTTACTACATAATATATAATAACCATAATCATTCACAAAATAATGTAAAGAGAAAGTATTAAAACAATTCCTATCAGTACTCTTAAATTCTGTGGATCCTTTTATATTTAGTTTTTGGTATTATTGTTGTTAACATATACTTAGGAAAAAATTCAAAGGATTTTTATAAGTACCGCTAACCGATTGCGCCACTGGAGCTCCGCAAAGGATTTTTGAAAAGGTAGTACGTCCATATACTCTTTACTTTATCTTCCATTTCTCGAGGTAGCCACCATTAACACTTTCTTTTGTATTCTAAAATTTTCTGTGAACATAGAAATGTACATAGATATAGATAGGTATAGATCTAGATATATTTGCTTTTTATATAAATGAGGTCATGCTATACGTACTGTCTGCAGTTTAGTTTTTCAAAAAGTTTTTGATAGATTTTGTCAAATCACTCTTCACAAATGTCACACCATACTCCGAGCACAACAGAGCATAGATTGCTTTTTTCACCATGTCTTTTTTTTTTTTTTTTAAGATTTTATTTATTTATTTGAGAGAGAGAGTGCACACTCGCACGAGTGGGCGGGGGGGCAGAGGGAGAAGCAGACTCTCCGCTGAGCGGGGAGACCAAGGGGGCTCAATCCCAGGACCCTGAGATCATGACCTGAGCCCAAGGCAGACGCTTAACTGACTGAGCCACCCAGGTGCCCCTGCTTTTTTTCACCATGTCTTAACTAGTACTGGGACATGACCAAACTTATTCATTGTCAATCTGGTAGTTGAAAAATAGTACCTTAAAAATTTACATATTTCCTCCATATGTTCATTGGCCTTTCATATTTATTTTTCTGTAAGCTGTCTTTTCATGCCCTTTGTACATTTTCCTAAGTTTTAAAATGGTTTGTAAGAGCTTTTTGTGTATGAGAGATATTGATCTTTTGTCTGTGCTAATAAGCTTCTTTTCAAATACGTTGTGCCTCGAGTAATCGCTACGGTGGGAAAGCAGAAAGTGCAGCTGACATAAGAGGGGGAGCCTGGCTGCTGAGGACACCGGGGGCAGGACTTCTCTGTGTCTCCTTCTTTACTTCCTTCTCCTTCCTCAGTTCCCCCCCTCCTATCCTTGGCCCTCTTCTCTCTTTTATTTCCCATGTCCTTTGCCTTGTGTGTGCACATACATTTTTTTACCTTATAGACTTAATGAAAATTATCTCTCAGTCTTTCGATTTTCTGTCTTAGTAGCGGGAAGCCTCTTAACCTAACATAGCATGGGACCTCATAATAGGCCTGAACTTGGTGCTGGTACACAGAATATATTTCCATAATTGTGTCTATGTTTAATGATAATCAATGGGAAAAGTAAAGGAGAAAGGAGGAGGCATCCACTGTGTACAGGATATTATGGAAAGCCTGTGTGAATTTATCTCTTTTTATCTTCCCTGGGAGGCAGCTTTTATTGCTCTCATTTTATAGATGAGAAAACAAACTCTAAGTGAAATTAAGAAACTTGCCTGAGGTCCCATGCTTAGAAATTAAAATGTTGGACTGTAACAGATCTGTATGCTTCTGATGAATTACCAAGTCCACATTGTTCTTAGTGATTTTTTTTCCTCTAGGTTTAACAGAAAAGTCTCCTCCAGAATATTCTGATTGTGTCAGTATGTTTAGGAGTGAACTGATAGAACATTATATTAATTCATTCAGCTGCTAATCTGTATTAGATTATTAGATTGATAGATATAAATATAAGAATATATTTAGTACCTTTGGAGCAAATTATCTGACAAACAAGAAAGAACATGAAGAAATTCCTATGTAGTTGTGAGGCTTGTGCATTCTAATTTTTCAGTCTGACTCTCCGGTTTGTCTGTTTCAGTAATTATCCCCAGCATTTTTCTGATGTGCCCTTTGGAGTGGTCACCAACTGTGACCTGGGAGGCTCAGCCCCTCATGTGGGTTGTTGTGGGGTTTGAGGTGAGTGAGCATCTGAATGGTTGGTTTCTTCTTTGCAGGCCTACAATGGGCACCATCAGGCCTTGGAAGTCCTTCTGCAGTCGCTGGTGGACCTGGACATCAGGGATGAGAAAGGCCGCACTGCTCTGGACCTGGCTGCCTTTAAGGGACACACAGAATGTGTGGAAGCACTTATCAATCAGGGCGCATCCATCTTTGTGAAAGACAATGTCACCAAAAGAACCCCACTTCATGCCTCAGGTGGGTCTTGTCAAGAGTCTGGTTGCAAGTCTAAGAAAAAGGATGACAGCATTTTCTTTCATCCCAACTTTTCAAGTATCAATTTTCTTTCTACATCAACTATGCCTACACTCTTCCAAAATGCTTTTGGCCTACTATCCACTTGAAGAGGATTAGTGTTCTATAGCCAGAAAGACTCTGGTCTTCTTCTTTTAGAGCCGTTTTAGGTTCACAGCAAAATTGAGAGGAAGATATAGTGATTTTCTGTATACTTCCTGTCTCCCTCCACCGCGCCCCCACACACATGCATAGCCTTCCCCATTGTCAGTAACCCTCACTAGAGTGTTTCATTTGTTACAATTGATAAACCTCCATTGACCCATCATAATCATTGAAAGTCCATAGTTTACATTAGGATCCATTCTTGGTGCTATACCTTCTATGAATTTGGGCAAATGTATGATGACATGGATCCAGCATGATAGTATCATACAAAGTAAGATGTTAAAAACACTGCCCTAAAAATCCTCTGCGCTCTATCTTGCCTTCTTAACTCAGGAGAGAGTTCAGAACTTTGACCAGTGGCTACCACAAAACTTCCTAAAGAGGAGGCAAGGTGTAATGTGATCTTCAAATGAGTTACACAGACAGAATCACACAGCATTTTAAAGCATAAAATTAACGATTTTTTTCACAGCTATTTCATAAAAAGTGTCATCAGACAGCAATCTAATTGGTACATCATTCTGCCAGTCTAAATGACGCTTCTTAGCTTTTGCTCTGATGCTGATTCTTGATGCATCATGTGTTAAAGACTCTTAAAAAGTGTTATGTATATATCAAAAAGTAAGTAATTTGACTTTTTGGGACTTTTCTCCAATATACATAAAATAAAATTCTGTCAAGACATTTCTGGATGTATACACAGATACAAAAGTAATGTGGAAGAATCTCTAGCTCAGCTGAGGCATAAATACCTTTGGGTCAGGAATTCAATGATACCAGCCTTTGATCAGGATAGTAGATATTGGCTCATAAAGAGAAATAACTATCTTATTCAGACCATGAAATAATGGGTGGATTGGGAAACAAGGAGTAAAGACAGCTTTTCAAAAGACTTTATGATTCTTGTTACTTGGAAAAAAATGTTAGGTCTTGTGAAACTATTTCCATGTATATATCCTTGAATTTCCAAACCACTGAAGAAAAGCAATATAGAGATTGAAAAAAACATGGTGTTGCCTAATTATCTGGAAATGATTGTTCCTGGAAAAAACTTCAGCCATGAGGTCAGTAATGGTTGGTATGGTTAAATTATAAATTCTCATTTCCCATCACACTTTGTGTTTTTGGTATTCTTGATATAATTATAAAGTATTATTGTGAAGTTTGGTATTCTAGGCACTCTTGGTATTATTATAAAGTTCAAATTTAGTTCTCCTTCTTAAAGATTAGTTGTATATTATTATGGCAAGCATTCTGCTTTAGGTGCGATGTACAGTATTTCCTGACAATTACAAGAGGCCTACTTCGATTGTGGAAAATTGTCCTTGTAAACAGGTAAACAATGAAGGATAATCATTGTCACGCATTTGCCACTGGGATATAGGTTGTGGTCCAATGGAGCCCCCTGGTGGTTAAGATTACTCCTTTTGGATTTCCCTCCTGTCATTCATTAAAGAGACGCAGGCTGTTATTTGACTATTCTCCACAAAATGTCTGCTGTGCAGAAGCTTTAGCTTGCGCTTCCGGAATCTCTTCCAGTTTGAGAGGGCAGTTTTTTGTTTGTGTTTGTTTGTTTGTTTCAAATCCTGGGAGTACGGTGAGGGGGAGGAGCCAGGACGGATATTAGAGGTTTTGTCACAGATAGTTACAGGGACAGTTGTAGGCTTTGAGCAGCATGATAAATGGCTGTCACTCACAGCCAGGGAGAGACTGAGCGGGTCGGAGACAAAGCTGGAGTTGGCAGGGCACGGCCAAAGGAGATGTTAGCAACTGGGGAAGATGTCGTGTGTGGGAAGCGAATGAGAATTCTAGTTTTGCTACACTTTTACGATAGAGGGGAATTATAATTACCCGAGGGCTAAGTTCAGAATCTACTGGACACCACCCCACACCCTGCCAACAGAACAAAATAAAACAAAAACAAAACACCATCTTAGAAATGGGTTTGTTCTCCAGCATACTTAGATGATTTTACTCTCTTTTTCTGCGTAGCCAAAAATCAAGCATCTTTGGAACTATTATTTTTTTCCCTTTGGAACTATTATGATTATGAGTATTTAAAGAATATCAAATTGATATCGGAAGAGGAATCAGTGAAAATACACTATACCTGCACTTTCATGACCCCATTGTCTGTAGTATTTAGCTATCAGTCCTCTGCTAATCATTCCCTTTTAAGCATACATTACATTCTTGCATATTTTACCAGTGGTAATAGATTTAATGTACTTTTTAAAACAAAAAAACAAAACAACAGCAACAGCAGTATATTGCCTGTGCTCCAGGCCACAAAATTTCCTCCTGAGATACATAAATGGAACATTGCTGAATGAGCTGAATGCAATGGTCTACACAATGTGGGCATTATTCCTGTTGTTAATTTGAGCTGTGTCGATGAACGTGAGCTAATTCTAATATGCATTGTCCCTGGAAAGCATGTCGTTATTAAATTAGCATTCTCTCACGACCGGCGTGCAATAAAAAGAACTGTAAAACACAGCTCTTAGAAGAGCCTTTATCAGCCTAACATAGCTGCATCTATTCCCTTCTCTCTCCACAGCCATAACGAGGTAAAAGCAATGTGTTTTATGGTGTTCTCATTGTTCAGAAAGGAGAGAAGGTCACGTTTGGAATTTTAAACATATTTGTTCTCATCCTACTCCCTCAGTGGAAGGCCGTGTTTTTTGTAAGGCTGTGGGTTCCATTCAACAAGCTAGCGGAAAATACCTTAGCCCAGCAGATTATCATCCCAGGAGGCTTGCTTCCCAGCCCTGGAGGCACCACCACTCCCCAGTGTAGCATCTTGCCTGGTGCGCACTAGGCCATGACCTTGTATTTGGCCCCAGCGGTCAAGGCCAACATTAGGGCTAGCTTTCCTGCCCGTGGGCAGCCCCCCCTAGAGTGAGAAGGGGCATGGGGAGGACGGGGCAGCGCCTGGGAAGGGGCAAGGTGGGTGCCCCAGTCACAGCTTGGCCAGGGACAGAACGGAGGGGCCGGAGGGGACAGGAAGTGGCAGCCACAGGAGACCCCGGAAAGCAGAGAAACCGTGGGCCGTAGTTTGAGGAGCTCCTGGGCAGAGTTGTCCTGCAGCCTCAGGGGGTGCGTCTGTGAGTCTCCTGGGAGCTGCTGGTCAGTCAAGGAGCAGTAAGCCGAGGGCCTGCATACACCTTTCCGGTGTGAAGTTTTGCTTCAAGTCACCGCTAATCAATCAGAACTATTGCTCCAATGTCTACCTCCAAATGTAGTGACTGGGAGAAAAAAAAGGCAGGACCTGTTTGCATCTCCCTTCCTCCTCTCCTCTGCTCCCCTCTTCCCTCCTCTCCTCCCATCCTGTTCTGCTCCCCTGTTTTGCCTCTTCTCCCATCCTTCCTTTTAAAAAGGGCTGGAGGCAGGCTGGACACGGGATTATACAGAATTGGGTGACTCTCTTAGAAGAACACAAAGATTAAGCTGAACATTCAGGAAAGGTTATCAGTCCCAAATGAGAAGGTAAGAAAGGACATCATTTTTCAGGAATAAACTCTCAATACAGGAGCCAGGAAAAAGTTAGGTGAGGACCAAAGTGCCCTGATGGGAAAAAAGGGGAAGAAGAATTGGTGAACAACACAAAATCGTGCCCAGCAGCTAGTACGAACTGGAAACCTGGGGATAGCTGTCAGCAGCATTGAAAACGACTGATTTGAAGTCCAAATAAATTTTACTTTGAAGCGATTTGTGTAGTGCTGGTCTGTTAAAAGAATGTCCATTATTTTCTTTTTCAGTAATTAATGGTCACACACTGTGTTTGCGGCTATTACTAGAAATTGCAGACAACCCAGAAGCAATTGATGTGAAAGATGCCAAAGGACAGTAAGTGTTCTTAAACTGGGCCTGGGGTTGGCATTTCAATCACAACAGGTAATTGGTTAATTTTGTTAAACAGCTAGGAGGGTTGATGGCTGAATTCTAGTTTGGGGTATATATTTGGGTGAAATTCATAGATGAGAGCCCTAGAATAAGGAGGGGGCTTTGCGCTAGAGTATATATCCAAGAGAAGTATGGGAAGGGGCGTATCTTGATGACAAAGAGCCAACTTTTTATGTCTGTGGCCATGATTCCTGGCCTTTCTTTCATTTTGTTTCTTCTTTGTATACACTTTTACCCTCTTCTGAAGCTGCTGCATTCCCATTTTGTAAATTAATTATGACAGTAGGACAGACCTCAAGAGGTTATCTCTATCATAAAAAAAAAAAATCCTTCGTATTTTTATCATTTCTGAGTTTGTTTTTCCAAAGTATTTTCCATCTGTTAGCCCATCCCCCCACCTAAGTTCTCTTACAAATAGGAAATGCAGCGCAAAAAACAAAGCAGGACTCATCCCAGATACATGAGTTACTGTCAGAGTTAGAACGAGAACCTCACTTCCCGGATCCCAACACTCTGTTGTTGTTTTTTTTCCCTCTGGCCTTGTCAGGCTTTTTTTTGCTGCAGTGAAGCTTTGATCAAATAAAATCTTGAGCAGAAGTTCAACATAGAAAACTATAAAGTAGAGCTGTAATGATAGGAGCAGGAGGGCCTCCTATCCCTGCTCAATGATTATTTGGTGAATGCTACACAGTTTTGAAAATGATGCGATCAACATGAACAATTTGTATTTTATTGTATTGATCATTCTATTGACACCCTTCCAGGTGGCCTTTAGAGACCAGGGATGGAGATGGCTTGTTCCATGCATCATATTAGCAAACTGGGGATGCTCAGAAAATATTAAGCAATTGTTGAGAGAGAGAAGAGAGAGGTGTCCTCCCTCTGGAAGTGATGGGTGTTTGTTTTCCCTGATCTTCTTTTTTAAAGCCTGATTTATTTCTCTGCCTAGAACCCCGCTGATGCTTGCAGTAGCGTACGGACACATTGATGCTGTTTCATTGTTACTTGAAAAGGAAGCCAATGTAGATGCTGTTGACCTCATGGGCTGCACAGCTTTACACAGAGGGGTATGTGCATCTTCCTCAGCTTTAGTGAAGCAATTTTGTAGTGAGCTTGTTTCCCCCTCCACCCCCGCATATGAAGTTTTAGTAAAAAGAATGTTTTCCTAAGATAAGTAATTAATCTCAGTCAGTCAAAAAGAAATTACAGGGGTACCTGGCTGGCTCAGTCGGTAGAGCATGCAACTCTTGATCTTGGGGTCATGAGTTGGAGCCCCACGTCGAGTATAGAGATGACAAAAAAGAAAGAAAGAAATGACAAAATCTTTTGCAAAGGTAAAATAATGGCAGGTACTCTTAGGTCCTGCTTTTCAGATTTCATGTTAGATTGTGATAATAGATACATGAACACCTGCTGTTGGTAGAATTGGTTCTGTTTTGTGATTATACGCACATCATAGAAAATTTGCAAAAAAAATTTTTTTTAAGGCTCAAAGAAGAAAGTCACAGTCACTGGTAATCTTACCCCCTGGAGATAACTACTTTTTGGTGTATGTATCACCAGTCTTTTTTTGCTGTATATGGATGTGTTTTGAATTTTAAAAAGAGAGAATACTGAAGATGCTATTTAGAAACTGCTTTTTTTCTCCAAGTAGATCGAGGACCTTTTTCCAATATTTTTATTGCATAAAATTAACCAATTACCTAAATATTTTTCCGCCCCATTTTTTTAATCCCCCATTGTGTGCAGGAGGTATAATTTATTCCAATGATTACCTAGTTTTCAGTAGCCATGTTAATTGTTCTTTATTACAAATGTTGGGCCATTCACCACCTGAAATATGTATCCTGTGGATGAGTCTTCATATACATCTGCTGAAATTTTTTTAAAGCATGTCAAACTAAATGAAACAAAAACAGAAATCATAAAATTGCTATTTGGTAACGATGCTGAACACTATGATAAATGAAAAAGAAAAGAGAAGAAGAAGAACGCTAAGCGGTCAATATCATAATCATAGTTCTTATTTTTTGAATACTTCCTGTGGGCGGAGCCACAGGCTGGGTGCCCTTACACGTCTCATTACGCCTCACGACAGCCTATGAGTCATTATTACTATTCCTACTTCCAGGTGGTTAAAGTGAGGCACAGAGAGGCAGATAGATTTGTCCACGTTTTACAAGCGGGAAGCCAGGAGTTCACTTGTACCTTCCTGATTCTAAAAGCCCATGTTTTCCGCTCTGTCATGAGACCCTTCAAGTTTCTGTTTGGAGAGTCTAGAGATGTTTCTAAAATGCTGGTGCGTTCACAGACTTCTCTGTTATGAATCTTGCTGGGGTTGTCCACCTCTGTCCTCTGACGCAGGGCAGAATCTGTTTCCCCTAAGGCCCAGGCGTCTGTCCGCTCACTCTGAGCCTAGCCTCACTTAGCCACCGCCTTGCTTCCTGCATCTCTGCCCTTCTGAGATGTGTTTTGTCTTTCTAATTGCAATGCATCAGATTATGACAGGCCATGAGGAATGTGTGCAAATGCTGCTGGAGCAAGAAGTGTCGATTCTCTGTAAAGATTCCAGAGGGAGGACCCCCCTGCACTATGCGGCTGCTCGCGGCCACGCCACATGGCTGAGCGAGCTGCTCCAGATGGCACTTTCTGAGGAGGATTGTTCTTTCAAAGATAACCAAGGCTACACGCCACTGCACTGGGCTTGTTACAATGGTGAGTTGATTGTCGTTTGACTGATTCCAGTAGATTTCCTGCCCGGCACCACTGTGGTCTCAGCGGAGGTGAAAACATAGTGTAACGTCGTAAACCATGGTTTCCAATCTTTCTGCATCTATGATACCCCCTCTTTTTTTTTTAAGTTTTCCCTTCATGGCTATCATGATGCCCTCTTTTTGTTAATCGCTAACATGTAACTCTTAATCAGAACCTTTGGTGAACTGAAATAACTAATTTTAATCAGGGTTTGAGATCCTACAAGGAATTAAAATAATACAGCTAACAACAAATAAATATGATGTAATAATCTGTCACAATTGCTACTAGTAGATGCATGATTTGGCATTTCTTTTTATGTCCTATATCCCCTATTTAGTTGCACTTGTTATTTGGGAGATTTTAAATTTTTCGTTTCACTTATTTGAGTGAAAAAGAAAATGCATACTATTTGTAACATATCAAAAATGGTGATGCTGCCTAAAGTAAAATTGTCTCCATTTCCAAATTTACTTTCTGATGTAATTCTGATGTATGTATCTTTCATAATTTTCCCTTGAGAGTATTAAATAAATACAAATTGTGTATGCATCTATTTTTGAAAACTAGAATCATATAACAAGTATTATATAACTTTCTTTTTTTGTTACTGTTTACATAAGTTTCTATTGCAGATATTCTTAGGAGTCAATATATATCTGTGTACATTGATCCTTTTAATAGTTGTATATTTTATAGCATGCAGTGGGATAGATATACACATATGTGAGTGTGTATACCAGAATTTATTATTTATTCATACCAGAGCCTTGTTGATGAACATTCAGATTGTTTCCAGGTTTTTTTCCAATTATAAACAATGCTGCAGTGTTTGTGTTCATATTATGGTACCTTAAATTCTGTCAGATAACTTTCCAAAAGTGAAATTATTGATAAGAGAGCAATGTATACTTTTTTAATTTTAGTGGATTATACCATATTACTTTGCAAAAAGAGTATAAAAATGTATTACTCCGTCAGACATGTATATAAAACGTACTATTTTCTTAAGCCCTTGCCAGCCAAGACAATACCATCTTTTTTAAATTTTTGTCAGTTTGAAGGGCAAGAGATAGGTATCTCATTATTTCAATTTGTGTTTCTCTGATAGTGTATTTATTTATGTATTTGCATTTCCTTTTCCTCTTCTGGACACGCCTTTTTCATCTGTTGCCCATTTTTTTCCTATTGAGTTGTTTATCATTTCTCATATGTTTGTAGAAGTACCTTGTCTTAGAAATAGGAACCCTCCATTTGTTATGTGTGCTGCAAATGTTTTCTCTCCGTCTATAATTTGTCTTTGTTCCTTGTTTATGATCTCTTTTTCCATGCATAGATTTTGAACTTTTATTAGTTGAATCTGTCAAATTTTTTGTTGTTGTTGCATGTAGGTTTCCAGTCTTGCTTAAGAAGCTCTTCCCCACCCACCCCCTGCCAAGTTTATGTGGATAATTTCCCATATACTTCTTATTTGATTTCTATAATTTTATTTTTCCATTTTCAATTCTCCTATTAAAATTTTCACTCAGAAACTATAATTATTAGGACCAGAAAGGTTTTGGGGTGCTCTCATATATCAGTGTCAGACCTTTCATTATAATCCTCCTTTTTTCAGTGAGAGCCAAGTTTTCTCCTTGTTCAGCTTGGTTATACTCCTTCCCTGCCGTTGGCAGATTGTGATTTTTTTTTCCCCCACTTACTAATGGATGAGAGCTCCCTAACTACCATCTGAGTCAAGCTGTGAGAGCTCTCTGGCGCTAGAAAACCTACAGGAAGGGGAAGACACAATCAGAGTGCTGATAACAGACCGCATCCTCTCCCCTGGAGTGGGGTGGAACAGTGGGGGTGGTGGGTCTCTCTTCTTAGGCCTCTTCGGGTGCAAGCTGGAGGAGGATCAGTCCTCTCCCAAGTAATCACCCTTCCAGTACAGTCTTCCAGATCCAAGGTTCAAGCTCCCATCTTCCCAGATTCCCCTCCACTGAGCACTTTGAATATCGAAAGTTGTGCAAGGGTCCCCAGTCCTCCCTACACAGACCTTAGGTTGGAATTCATATAGTCTCCAAGGAATGGTAGGTTTAGATGCTGCCCTAAGTGGGGTCCTTTGGGGGGATTCATACTACTGGAGGGACTGAAGTGTCTGGGACTGTTTGAGTGAGGGTTGGATGTAGTTAGAAAGCTGAACAGTATAACTTGAATCAAGTTAGGGGATTTTATATTCATTACTTCATATGCTTCTACATCCTCCTAAAAGCAGCTTCACCTTTTCTCTCTACAGGTGCAAGAAAGGTTTGACTTGTATTTTAATACTTAAAATTATCCAATCTACATAATTCTGGGATAGATCATAACAGAACTCTAATTCAGCACTGAATTCATCTAAGAAGAGGTTCAGGACGTAGTCTATATTCCAAAGCCAAATAGCATTGCCTTCTTGCTCTGACAAATGCACATTGTCTCACAAACCACATTTAGGTCCTTTATCAACTGAAAACTCCATCATCCTTTACTAGTCTGATTTTTTATATATGGGAAACTGAGGCTCACAGATCCCAAGTGGGTTGCCTAAGTCATGTAACAAGCAAGCTGACAGAGCTGAGGCCTTACTCAACCCAAATTCAGTTGATTTAGAAACCATTGTCATGTCGTTGAAAATAATTCCTCACATTCATTCATCTACTTATTAAAAAAATACTTATTGGGTGCATACTATTTGCCAGGAACTGGCCTTGGTGCCATTTTAAACACTTACATAGTATTTTACAGTCAAAGCCCTTTCACCTGCATTATCTCAAATACTGTTTTCTATCAGTCACCTCTTTTTTCCTGAATTAGGTTGCATAATTGTAAGTGAACCTATTCACGTGGGTGAAAGGAGAATTTCCTGTTGTAAACATGGGCAAACTGAGGCATATCTATGTCAGGCATCTATTTCTTGAGAACTGAGGATGATATTGAATCTATTCCACTTGCAAATGAGGTCCCTTCTTTATCTCTTTCTCTCCTCTAGAGCATAAGGCCTTCACTGTTTCACTATGTCTCAAAACACCTGTGAGCATAGTTAATGACATTTTGGCATTTTGTTTATTCCACGGAGAATGAACATTCAGCCAATTCAGGAAAATTCACAAGCCAGAATTCAATACTTAACAACAACAACAACAAAAATAGATTGTGTTGACCAAAATTTCTTTCTTGGAAACTCTCTAAATTCTTTTGATTCCTTACAGGTAATGAAAACTGTATAGAGGTACTTTTGGAGCAAAAATGTTTTCGCAAATTTATCGGTAATCCCTTTACTCCACTGCACTGTGCAATGTAAGTAGAAAGGCTGGGAGTTAATGGTGTTGCTTTAATCATTTTAACTACATACAGACAGATTGCCTCTCTGGGAAGGGACAGGCTTTTAGACTATAGGTAAGACCAACATATTCCACTTTGCTGCTAATGGCAAATGGGTCTGATAGCAAAGTGTGGTCCCTAGTGTTAATGATTTTCCAGGAGCTTTTTGTGGAGTGCCCAGGCTCCACGGTGGCTCACATGTCACCTGAGGGAAACTACATGAAGGGTCGTGGGTAACTAAGAGGCACGTTACACCCCAGGTGAAGAGCTCTCCAGATGTACCTCACATTTGTGTACCAAATTCTAAAAATAAATTGGGGTTAACAGCAATATGCCTATGGATGATTAGAAAAGACATTTTATGGCAGGAAGACTTTTTATATATTGTAATTCTCCATTCTTCATATGTTGTAAGTTCTTTTTTGATAAATGTACTTTTTGCTGCCATCTCACAGTATGAACCATTGTTTAGATAATACAGTGACTTGAAAGCAGACTTCCATGGTCAGCCTGGGGGAACATGGCCACCTGGGACCTGCTTTATCTTTGCATTGTCTCTGGGCTTCACATGCAGCTGGGTCATTTGACTGAAAGATATTGGAGGCGTATAGTGGATGAATAAGCAAAGAGTAAGAAATAAAGGGTAGGAGTGATTTTAAATCTGAAGGAACCATGTCTTTGTCACTTTGGTATCCCCCAAAACCTAACATGATGCATAAGTGGTGCACAGTAAACTCCTTCCTGGATGTAGGGGTTCTGAAGAAATACTGGGGTTCCAGCATTTAATCCACAATGATTAAAGAACCAAACAAACTTTATTTTACACTTCATGAAGCAGACAGTGTCCACTTGCAAGAGTTCAGAGAGCTACAGTGTGAGGCAGAAAGCAGGAGGTTTTTACAGAATAAAAAATAGGAAACAGGAAAGAGAAGGAATAAAAATATCTGATTAGCGAGGGTTTCATATCTGGCCTTATTTGAGGTATCATAGGAATGGGGCAATCACCCATATAACTTGGTAATTATTAATTGGTTAACTAGATGGTCTGACCTCTGAGAAGACGGAACATTTACAATAACATGAAACTTAAAAGTTGAGGGGTTTTTTTTGCTATGTTGTTTCCCGGGATCAGTGGTGCCTGACCTACCAAGTAAAGGTTCATGTGGGATCGATTTGGTAGTTCTTCCTCCCCACTTTGATCAACCTCTGGCCAACCAAGAGGTTTGAGCAAAGGTGATGTTGCAAGTTATTCTCAGTTACCATTGTCTCTTTGGGTCTCTCTCTGTTTCACAGGAGATAATGTCAGGTTTTCATTCCAGTTGGAGGGAAACCATTTGTTAGCTGGCTTATGGCTGCATACACACATCTAAAACCCTTATAGTGAGCGCTGTGTATTGTGCAAGACTGAAGAATCACAGACGGGTACCCCTGAAACAAATAATACATTATATGTTAATATAAATTAATTAATTAATTAATTAATTAATTAAAAAAAAAAAAAAAAACCTTGAGAGAACAACAGACTAGGAAGCAACAGACCAGGAAGATAATTATTAATAGTAAGAGTATTCCTAAGGTTTACAGGACATTCCTGAACCAGGGTCCCCATGAACCAAACCAACTAGATTCACAGAAGTTAAGAAATAATCCCGAAGAGAGGATACTTCTTTAAGCCAGTTGGCCTGTTGACCAACTTATGCATTTATTTATTTGTCAAAAATATCAAAAGATTTTAAAACACCTAGTCGAATAGGATCATAGGTCACTGTGCAACAGTACTTAGTTATCCATTTAACCAAAGTGATATAGCTAATAAAGATAAATACAGAAAGTTAGTAGTGGCTTAAGAAACAAACCAAAAAACCTCCTTAGCTCTTTTAATACTAAGAAGACTGGGTTTTCTTAAGTAATTAAAGACTTGATAAAGATAGCCTAAAGCACAGTAAATTATTTTGGTAAGACACGAAATCTCTGCTTTTCAGGAAGATTACTTAAAAGGTTAAAAAAAAAAAACCCAAAAACCTTTATTTACAGTTTCTTATTAAGAGCAGATCAGTAATCTAAGAAAAAAACCCTTTGTTCCTTTAACAGAGAGAAAACCAAATTCTAATTTTGCACTAGTGTACTTTTGATATTAAAACTCATTTTTTTAAAGCTTAAGTAAATCCATTCCAATCTTAGCCAGCTTGACCACAGAGAATTCCTTTTCCAAGATTCCTTTTCCACAGACCTTTTACAGCTTTTTATATCCATTCAGATTTTGTCCTAATTTTTCCCTCTTTCACATTCCAGAAAAAACAGTCATTTTACTTTAGGACAAAATTACTTTCTCTTTTTTCTTACCAAAAAAATAAAACAAACAAAAATCATGTCTTTCATAACTTTCCTTATCCAAAAAAAAATACACATTCTACTTTTATTACCTACTTTTCTTACAGTTATTTTCTTTCACCCTTATTATTTCTTTTTTTTTTTTAAAGATTTTATTTATTTATTTGACAGAAAGAGAGCGAGAGAGGGCAGGAACACAAGCAAGGGGAGTGGGAGAGGGAGAAGCAGGCTTCTAGCAGGGAGCCCGATGCGATGCGGGGCTCAATCCCAGGACCCTGGGATCATGACCTGAGCTGAAGGCAGATGCTTAACAGTTGAGCCACCCAGGTGCCCCACCCTTATTATTTGTAAATAGTTTTAATTGATTAAAATTCTTAACCCCTAGAATCCTTAATTCCTAGTGGAAACTAAGAAGTAAGCAATAGTGGGTTGTCAGTTACATTAGCATTCTGTGGATTGGCAAATTCATAAATAAATTTCATAATTTCTAGGAGTATATTCTTCCTTATAATACATATTTCAATGTGGTACAAAACATGTTTACTAATGGAGCCAAATATCTGTAGTTCCTCTGTCAAAGGAAGCCAAAAGTGGATAGATCTATGTTCAGTAATAATGTTTCAGAGTTTTATATTAATTGGAAATGATCTAGAAGTCAATGAATATCCATCATTTAATGTATCTCAGCTTAACTAAGGTTTCAGGTTCGTGTCCATCTATATCTGTATGTATATTGGAAACTATTTTTAAGTATACCATAAAGCATAATTACTGTTGAAAACTTTACTTATAAACTTTTATCTTACTTACATCTATTTAATTTACTTATTTTTAATGATTATGTTTAGATCACTCATGAAAATTTCATGAGATATGAAACAGCTAACCATCATCTTAAATTATCTTTCTGGCTGACAAATTCTGTAACAGTGATAACATGAGCTTATTTGATTTTTAGTAAACCTAGGTAGAATAAAAGTTTTATGTCTGCATTATAAATGCTGATAACTCTGAAGACGTGCCTGTTTTAATTAAACTGACCAACCTAAAACTAGTCCTTGTTTACCAAAGATAAACCCAGATCGTGTGAACCCAAAAAACATTTGGGTTAGTTGCTATATTTCTGAGAATATACTTGGCTTATATAAGTGCTTAATGTTCTTTTTATTATTATACTATTTTATTTTTATTTATTGGGGAGGGGTACAGAGAGAGGGAAAGAGAGAATCTTAAGTAGGCCCACACAGGGGCTTAGTCTCATAACCCTGAGATCATGACCTGAGCCAAAACCAAGAGTTGGACACTTAACTGACTGAGCTACCCAGGCACCCCAAGTGCTTAATGTTCATTAAGCCAATTAAATAGAGCTCTTTACAATTAATTTTGGCAATACCATCTGGAGATAGAAAAAAACATAATGTACGTACATATACATACAGATATAGATGGACACGAACAGAAATCTTAATAACTTTTGTTTTTATTTTATTTTTAAAGATTTTATTTACTTATTTGAGAGAGAAAGAATGAGACAGAGCATGAGAGGGGGGGGCTCAGAGGAAGAAGTAGACTCCCTGCAGAGCGGGGAGTCCGATGCGGGACTCAATCCCGGGACTCCAGGATCATGACCTGAGCTGAAGGCGGTCGCTTAACCAACTGAGCCACCCAGGCGCCCTAACTTTTGTTTTTAAATTTTAGCCTTTAAACAGGTATGATAATGCAAAACTCACTAGTTTATTAAACAACAACAGCAATAACAACAACAACCACAGATCCAGACTGTGTTTCTGGCAGATGGAATAAGTTAAGGTTACCTGCTCAGATGGCTTAAACTTTTTACTAAAATTGAGAAAACTTCAGATTTTCAAATTTTTTTAAATTACAGTATAGTTAATATATAGTTTTTTTTAAATTTTTATTTATATTCCAGTTAGTTAACATACAGTGTTATATTCATTTCAGGTGTACAATACAGAGATTCAACAATTCCACATATCAGAGACTTAAGATTTTTTATTTCCCTAGTTTCCAAATAGTCGTTCTTTTTTTTTCTTTTTTCTGATAAGAATTATCTCCCTGAAATGTGCTCAAAGAAATGGCCTAGATACTAGTTCCTAGAGAAGACCAGGTACATCTCAAAGGCAGAGGGAAGGAATGCAAAATCCTCCAAGAAGAATTTTACAATACCTACAAGCCTTTTCAGATGAATAAGAGAGGTTTGGGGATTGGTAAAAAGGATAGGCGAGCTTTTTCTGTTCTTTAAAAACTCAATTTGTGGGACGCCTGGGTGGCTTAGTCGTTAAGCGTCTGCCTTTAGCTCAGGTCATGATCCCCTCATCGGGCTCCCTGCTCAGTGGGGAGCCTGCTCTCCCTCTGCCTGCCGCTCCCCCTGCTTGTGCTGTCTCTCTCTGTCAAATAAATAAATAAAATCTTTTAAAAAAATGAATAAAAAATAAAAACTCAATTTGTAAGGCAAGGAGAGTTGATTTTAATTCCTTAAAAAAGGGGGGCTGTCCCACTCATCCAACTACATTATCTTTAATTTGCTTCTTTATATCAAGGACATCTTCCTTCAGCTAAGGTAAAAATCAAATTATTCCTTTGTTCTAGATTTAGAGCTGTTTGTATTTGGAATGCCCCCACCCCATTCCCTCACCCCAGGTACATAGTTTCATTTTAGCTTACTGGGAAGGCCTAAAGAAAGTTACTATTAGGTTCTGAATATCAGCTTCCTATTTGGCCAGCTTTTGACCAACCATAAAGCTACTTTTAAAAAAGAAAAAAAAAAAAAAGGCTTTCAAATATCTTGTCAAGTTTCAACCAGGACAAACAGTAACTATTCCTGGCAATATTGAACAACCCATGAATGCAAGATGCCCCCAAAGATGGTGCAAAAGATACTACTGTCCCAAGATCCAGAGCTACCTCCCAAAGATAGGTAAAATAAAGAAGGATTTAGGACAAACAGGAAGGCAATAGCAGTCCCTGGGAGAGAAAAGGATCAATAACCAATGGATACTTCAAAACCAAATTCACAAGAGTTTGAATTTGGAAAGGAAGGGACAACATGAAAGTATACCTTTCCCCCTTGATCGGCCACCACAGAGACCAGGAAAGGTGAATCCAGTAAGAATTCTCACCCTTTGCCTGCTTATGCCGGTTTTCCCAGGTCCCATCTGCAGGCTCTGGAGTGAATGGAGTTTAAAGTAGAGAGTATTGCCCTGGATCTACCAGAATTCGGCAAGATTTTTCCATTAATTTTAATTTTACTTCCCCTTAACTGTTAGAATGACTGGTAGCAGTTTATTGGAGAATCCTTTGGTGTCTCGTCAACACTGGAAGGGGCCTGTATAGGGGCCCTCCTTGGAGGATATATATGGGGGCATTTGAGCTGCTATCAGAGGATTTGCACAAAACCTTCTGGGACAGTCTTTTTGCCAATGTCCTAATAGATTGCAAATGAGACACCGATTTCTGAGCCAGTGTTTTGATGATGGTGCAGTGGCCGGGGGGGTGGGGGGGCCCAGGTGTTGTTTTGGGTTTCTGGCCTTGTAGCAGTTGCTGCAATAAGGCCACTGACTTTGAAGACTTGTTTCTGATCCTGTAGCCCCCTTCACGGTGGGAAGGCAGTTCAGATAGAGGATTAATAGATTCTTGAGTACTCAGGTAAAGGAGGATAGAGGGCAGTAGTAGGAGTCATATCAGTCTTACAGTCTTAGTTTTAGGTACCTCTTGTGTCTTTAATTTTTCATTAGCCTTGGCAATGAATCTTTCAATGAAGCCCTTTTGGAATCTTCAAGCTTTTTGGAAGCTTCTGCACACCAATTAAAATAGGTATCCCATTCTGTTTGTTGATTTGGGAACCCTTGCTTTCAAGTGTACTCCTTAAATGAACGATCTTATCTAACTAGAACATTCCCCATGCTGGCCATTGTAATTCTGGGTTGTCTAAGTAATATTTTGCCATTTTTGTAGGTATCTATAGCATCTAGGATCACAGTTTGTAGACAGAAAATAAGCAACTGTGCTGGAAGGCAGAGTGCTCAATTCTTTGAAACTTGAGGATCTCAAGTTTCTTTAGCTAAGCGTTGAGTCTCTCAGAGCCAAATTAGTACCTAAGAGAGATGTGCCACTGGGTTTGTGATTTGTGTGGTGTTTTACAGTGTACCTTGTTGCATGGAAATTTTGTTGAGGTTGGTGAGTGACCTAGTGTCAATCAAACCTGTTCCATAACCAACTTATCCTATTACAAGAGTCTTAGATTTATGTGATGAGTACTCTAGCGGCTTTTGAGTGCTGAACCTATGCCCATCAATTTTGTGGCTTTGGCTTCTGAGATTCTCATTAACAATAGATCTGTTACTCTCCACAAGCTTTCTTTACAATGGTGGATGCCCTAATGGCTTTTAAATGTCCAGTTCACGCCTACGTAGATATTAATGTGCCATTGGTCAAAACGGTCTGTATTTTTGTCTTAATTTATTTCTGCAAGTCTCCCAGTGGTTAATGCTGTGGACTTACTTCAAGGTCCCTGTTAGTCTTTTAGAGGCTGCTACCTGCTGTGGACTCCCACTATAGCTGTCCCAGAGCCTTTCCTGGATCACAGAATCTTTCTGGGAACTTCAATAAACCCCTTTCCTTTAAAAAGTTTTGGATAAAGTTTGTTTAGCTTAGAGAGTTGCACACAAGGGAACAGACCTCAAATCCAAGAGTGACTCACCCTTAGCCCTTGGCAACAGTGAACTCAGAGGGTTCGGCAAGTGCCTTATCTCTGTGTCTCCTCCTGTAGGCTGTTGAGTAGTCAGCTTTGAATCCCACCCTCATCACCAAAACTGTTCAGATGATTGAAGAAGACAGATTAGGTGATAGAAATTTTACTTAACACTTCATGAAGCAAGCAGTTCTTCAGACTCTTGAGAGTGAAGACTGCCTGCCTCATGAAGTGTTAAGTAAAGTTTATTTGTATGACCTAAATTGTCTTCTTGAATTATTTGAACAAGAACATAAACCACAGATATTTGCATCAGACATTTTTAAATGTGTCAGATTGTTAAATATACAGTGCATAGGAAGATGGAGTAGGAAGGGATATATAATTTTTTAAAAATGTAAAATTTTTAAATGTAAAATCTATTTTCACTTTAGAATAAATGATCATGAGAATTGTGCATCATTGCTACTGGGGGCCATAGATTCCAGTATTGTCAATTGCAGAGATGACAAAGGCAGGTAAGTGATGCTAAGATGTCATGCCTCATGTCTTGATCAATCTTAGTCTCTGCTTTGTGGTTGCAAATAGCCAAACATTTATTATTTTTTAATTGAAAAAGTAACATAAAAGCATGGTTTTTATTTTTTTAAGTGATTCTGTTTAAGTAATCTCTACACCCAACATGGGGCTCGAGCTCACAACCCTGAGATCAAGAGTCACATGCTCTACCTACTGAACCAGCCAGGCACCTCTAAAAGCATGTCTTTTAAAAATTAAATATAATAAAGAGTATATAATTAGGAGAAATTACTCTTAGCCCAGAAGCCCCAGCCTCTTCTATCGGGAAAGCCACCTTAAACTATTCTTTTGAAATTTTTATATTTTCCCCAATATTTTCTGTACATAGCTACAAACATATATGAAGATATATGCTTTTGTTCTTTTTATGCAAATGGGAGAAATCTATTGCAATGCTCTGCTTTTAGTGTATCTTGGAGAACTTTTCATACCAGAATATATAGATTTACCATATTCTTTTTAAAGCTGGATATTACTTCATTGAATGGATAGACACTTAATCAGCCTGCCTTCTATTGAAGAACATTTAGGTTGTTTCTAATATTTTACTATTTCAAAGAGTGGTTCAGTGAACAGTATAATATATGTATCTGTTCACATGCTAGGAGATGAAGTTTTAGATTTAATTTTTAATTTTGATAAATAATACAAATTGTGCTCCTAGAAAAATCAACTACCCATATTAGACAGTGGGGGCTTTTTTATTATTTAAATAGCCAATTATCTACAAATTTAAGGCTTAGTTTTGAAAGTGTCTTTTTAAAGTAATCTCTACACCCAGTGTGGGGCTCGAACTCACAACCCTGAGTTCAAGAGTCATGAGCTGTACTGACTGAGCCAGCCAGGCGCCCCAATTCTGAAAGTACCTTTATCAAAGATGAGAAGTCACTCGAACTCAACATCAAAGGGTAAGTAAAGATGCTAATTTTATTATCAGAGCCACCACTTAAACCCCCTCCAAATCTAGGGAGTGTTCAGTGTCCATCCCAAATGGACTTTAGAGAGGGCCTAATTGTTATCTCTGTAAACTGAGAAGTTTTAAATCCTTAAGATGACACTGTGCCCAAGTCTCTCAGGCGTATACAGAAAGAGCGTGTGTTACGTTTAAAGGAAGCTAAAATCCTATTTGTTTTAAATCATTAGGACACCCCTTCACGCAGCAGCATTTGCTGATCACGTGGAGTGCTTGCAGCTTCTTCTGAGACACAGTGCTGAAGTGAACGCAGCAGACAATTCAGGAAAAACAGCGCTGATGATGGCTGCCGAGAACGGGCAGGCGGGCGCCGTGGGTACGTGCTTGACTGGTGGGCTTCGCGCTCATGCCCAACCCACACCGGAGTAACGTAAAACCGGGAAATCGGTTATTCTCTTGGTATATGCATGTGAAAAAGGCCAACATTTTATGTAAGCCAATCGATTCTGCTTGCTAATTGTCTTCAGTCCCCTGTTATTGGATGATTGGTGGACCTTGTCAAAGTGAACCAATCTTTGTGCAGTGAAAAATCTCAACATTTAGAGACCGAATATAGCAACAGAATTATTTGAGCTGGAAATAACAAAACTACAAAGACGATTAAAATGAACATCTATAGACCTTGGATTTCAATAGAAAAATATGGCAATAAATTTTTCCTTTTTTCTTTAAAAACATCAAATATGATGATGTCATCATACTAATTTGAATGTGTTATTGGAGTTAGCCTGTCGTCTAAGTAACTCTCTTTTGGCTTTTTCTATAGATGTTTTGGTGAACAGTGCCCAGGCTGATCTGACTGTAAAGGATAAAGACTTGAACACACCCTTACATTTGGCTAGTAGCAAAGTATGTAAATGAATTTGAAACAGTGTTACTTAGTGTTGTAATCATACTCATACCACTTACATGCTATCTCAGAAGTGTGTATCATGGCTCTTAATTAAGATGTACGTTTTCCCAGGGTGTTGTCAACTGTAAGCAGAATGGAAGGGGAAGAAGCACAGGGCAAGACCCATGTAGGGGTTGGTGAGGATGTGCTTTTCATGGCATTTGCCACCTGCATTCTTATGCAGTCTGTCTCCAGGGGGTGCAGTACCACATCAACTTGGCTTTAAACACAGCTTAGGACCTTAGTCATGTGGCTTCTGAAATATAAACAGGTCCACTTGTTTTCATTTTGTTCCATTTGAAGACATTGTAATAACATAGCCAAAAAAATACTCTCCTTTGAGGCAAATAAGTGTGTTCATGTGCATGTCTACCCTTGGCCCTTCTTTTTCTGGTGCATAATTCAATGCAAGGAATGTGTTCGAGGTTTTTTGTTTTTTTGTTTTTTTAGTAGCATTATGTTCACATGTAGCTCAAGATTCCTGCTTCTGTAAAAGACAATGATACATAATAATAAATATACAATTTTACAAAAGTGAGATCATAATGTTTGAAAAGCTTAAAACCTGCTTTTGTTACTGAATCATATCTTATGAATCTTTTTTAAAGATTTATTTGTTTATTTTAGACAGACAGAGAGAGAGAGAGTGGGGAGGAGGGGCAGAGGGAGAGAATCTTCAAGCAGACGCCCCATTGAGTACAGAGCCTGATGCGGGGCTCAATCCTATGAGCCCATGAGATGATAACCAGAGCCAAAATCAAGAGTCCGATGCTTAACCGACTGAGTCACCCAGGCCCCCCTTGAATATCTTTCTTTTAGATAGCAAATTGTATCGTGTTTTATTTATTTATTTATTTTAGTTTTTTTATTTTATTTATTTATTTGACACAGAGAGAGAGACAGCGAGAGCAGGAACACAAGCAGGGGGAGTGGGAGAGGGAGAAGCAGGCTTCCTGCGGAGCAGGGAGCCCGATGCGGGGCTCGATCCCAGGACTCTGGGATCATGACCTGAGCCGAAGGCAGACGCTTAACGACTGAGCCACCCAGGCG